ATGTTGCAATATCAAATGTATTTTCAATTCTTTCATATTGCAATATTAATCTTGTTGCAATTCTAGTTATATTGCCACTGTGCAGAGTCTGAGTATCGCTCTCCGCCGCCATATTGCCAAGTCGGCTGTTATAAGAGCCAGCTGTCAGACTGAGACTGACAAACACAACAGCCTTCACCGACTGACAGTCTCTCACACCAAACACTCTGACCAAATACTTCCCATAATACCTTCAACTTGGTCAGGTAAGATGCAATATTTATTAAAGAAATTCAGAAATATTCCCCTGAGCCTCCAGCCTTCCTTCACCTGCTCTCGACACACTGGCCACTGAGGTGCTCTTCTGACACCATCATCCCACCTAAGGCTGAGTACTCACCACACTCAGCCTCCCCTTGAATGAGGTCTCTGCGTTCACTAAGATGAGGCTCCTTGTGGGTTCCGTTAACCCCCTGTTCTCCTCAACTGTGATTGGATAATTGTTACGCTTTATATTCCTACATATGTCTTAGTCGTCATGTACAACGTATATTGGTGCCTTCGTGGTCAGTTTTCTGGTGACTCGTGTGGATGGTGGAGTTCAGTCTCTTAGCACAGCTTACCCGATGGTGATAAGATTGACAGCAGCAGCAGCAGCCTGGCCAGTGGCCATGGCAACAACAGAGGAGGAGGAGTTACGGTGTTGGGTTTCCTTTTAGAAGACTGTCAACGCTATGAACGCTGCCCGAGCACAAAAAAACACCAAGAGTCGCCCCATCACCCCAGCCAGCCGGCAGCCACACCATCACCATCAAGACATAAAGAAATAGGGTTAGTTGTAGAGTTGTTTGGTGAAAGACGAAGGTAAAGTCTTTGAGCTTTTTATGTCAGAGATGGACGGAGCGAGTTGGCGAGGAAGAGTTTTGAGTCTTTGATCATAAAAATATCAAAGTACTCGTAGCGTGGAAGGATGAGCGTCTCGTCATAGAGGATTTTAGTGGAAGTAGGACACAGATCTTTGAGCTTCTATGTCAAAGTTATGAGTAGAAAGATGATGGAGGGAGCAAGAGATGGAGGGAGGGAGAGATGGAGGGAGAAGAGGTTTTATGGAATATATCTCTAAGCTTTCATGTCAGAGGTTGGAGTGAAGCAGTGAGGGAGGGAGGGAGAGTACTGACTTATGTAGCGGGACAAGAAGAGTTACTGAATGAGGTTTTATTGTGCAGGTGACCGAAGTGATTAAGTCAGGGACCATTATCCTGTTAGAGACCCACAACAGCCTTAGGACATTCTAGCAGGTAAGTAGTAGGTAAATTATCTTCTTAGGTCAGGTTACTCTCGTATTCCTTCCCTTTGGTAGGTTTCAGAGGGAATTTAAATGACGAATTACAAAAATAGTGATATATTGATAGTCTATGTACAGTACAGTCACCCAAAAAACTACCTATACAGATTTGTGTTGAAAATATATGACAATGGACGAAAGATTTTGACAACCTTCCCGAGACATCAGGAGTCACAGTGTTCATTCCGAAACTCATCGATCACCCCGAGTAGAGATAGTTTCTTGGAGTGACTGTAGAACTTGACATAACCTTGGAGTCCATCTTTCCTTCTTCTGGCTGTCGTGAGGCGGACATAACAGGAAATGACATCCACTAGTTCAGGGTTTACGCGGCGGGGAAAATCGAATGTGACTAACAGTAATAAGCTGTAATTTAACCTCAATACTCAGGCCTCCTTCAAGCGAGTAATTCATGTCAAAGAAGTGTATGTGTGTGTGTGTGTGTGTGTGTGTGTGTGTGATACATAAGAAACAACGGAATGGGATACACATACGCCGTACACAAGGTGGTAGGGTGTCAGTTTAAAAGAGTTGGTACACCTTATCCCACCTAACGTGCGATGTCTTCATTAGAAATACGATAATTAATCCAGATAAAGACCATCGTACTCAATGTGTTCAATAATCTAAAACTGAAAAAAGACTCCTATTTAGACTACACAGACAGAAAGACTAAACTACTATGTGAAAAAGCCTAAACAGGTCCTTAACGACACACGAAAGGGGTACAGCCTCAAGTTAACTGAAGTATTTCCACCCTTTAACTGTCGCTTGGTTCGAGTTAGATGACGTCACGTCTTAAGAGTGAGAGAAACCCTGAACGTGGACTCACTCAACGTTTATTGGTTGATCTGGTCAAAACCTGTACAAGTGAGACAAGTGATTACAGTCCATTACATGTATACATTATACGTTAGTTAGTAAATATACTATTCTGTTTGCTTGTTATCCAAAGCCTTACACTATGCACGCATGTAGTTCACAACATTTCACTGTTCTTTCACTCAGGTGTGCGGGCTTATATCGCCACTTAACTATGGCTCCAAGTAACTCCTGGTTATTGCTAGTGTGTGTACACTCGATGGGGCTCCACGATACCGTCAGAGGTGTCCCGAGCCTCTATCTATGGCCATAACAACGAAACGCTTCTTCTATGGCTGTGCCGTTTACAAACATCTGGCGAGGTCACAGGTCGCGCTGCCACATGGGAGTCACAGGTCGCGGCGGGGCGATAACACACCCCCGTAAGCCACGGCCCTCGTCTACAGCTACAAATACCTCATTGGTTCCCTGAGCGTTTTACCCCCCGTTATTTATGTCAACCTCTTATAATAAATATTAAATTTTTCTCACATTGTCTCTGAAGTCCTAATGCCTTGAAATGATTTGCATATTAATAGTCCAGATATTTAACATTATTTTAGATAATAACGCGGCTGCTTACCATTGGTGAACACATATGTTTTAATTTTCTATGGACCAATCAACTATTAGTATAGACGAAGGGGGGATGGTGGGAGATAGAGAGAGAGAGGGAGGGAGATAGAGAGAGAGAGGGAGGGTGGGAGATAGAGAGAGAGAGAGGGTGGGAGATAGAGAGAGAGAGGGTGGGTGGGAGATAGAGAGAGAGAGGGAGGGTGGGAGGTAGAGAGAGAGAGAGATAGAGTGGGAGAGAGATGGGAGAGAGAGAGAGAGGAGGGTGGGAGATAGAGAGAGAGGAGGGTGGGAGATAGAGAGAGAGGGAGGGTGGGAGATAGAGAGAGGGAGGGTGGGAGATAGAGAGAGAGAGAGGGAGGGTGGGAGATAGAGAGAGAGGGAGGGTGGGAGATAGAGAGAGAGGGAGGGTGGGAGATAGAGAGAGGGAGGGTGGGAGATAGAGAGAGAGAGAGGGAGGGTGGGATAGATGATATACTATGGAAACATTATGGTAACTTGTAAATATATCGAGAAACGGTGTAAATCTATTGATAAACTGTAAATATATTGGTAAAATGTGTAAATATAGTAGCAATTTTTGTAAATATTTTCGCAACAAATGTAAAATAGTGGACGAGTGGAACAAGTTACCAAGCATCATCATTAACTCGAATACGCTGGATAGCTTCAAATAAAGGTTGGATGGATTATGAGCGATAGGGGTTGGGTATAAACGGGACTGACCGGTATGGGCCCGCTGCAGTTTCTTCCATTCGTACGTTCATAATATGGCGTTACCGTCGGATGAGCAGAGGGGGGCTGCCCCGCGAGTGATTGGCTCATGAAATGTTTTATTGGAATGGAAAAATTCACACATCTTGTGTTGATCCGCAATTTCTGTACTTCACACACTATATTTTTCCACCAATAGTTCGTTAGTTTGTGAAGTTGGCGCTGGACGCTGCTTTCTGCTCGGGAGTTGTTCATCAGCCCGTCGTTCAGCTGCTCTCTGTGTGCTACCGCTGGATCCCCCGGTCGCTTGGTGTAGGAGCGCACTCACACACACACACACACACACAACTACAAATTAATGAAACAAACCTTAATTAAAATGCAACAGACGTACAGTACAGGATCAGTGAAGTCATAAACACACACTCACACTCATAATAAGGACAAAAATACTTATTACAGTTTAAAAGAAAAGTGACGGCAGGAGAGCGCGTAAGAATGGAGGAAACTGCAGCAGGCCATACTGGTCAGTCTCATTTACACCCAACCCCTATCGCTCATTTATCCATCCAACCTGTGTTTGAAGCTATCCGGCGTGTTCAGGTTAATGATGATGTTTGGTAACTTGTTCCACTCATCCACTACTCTATTTCCAAACTAGTGTCTACCTATTTCGCGCCTAAATCTAAATTTGTCTAATTAAACTTGTAAAATATATTGAAAAACTGTAAATGTATTGGTAAATGTTACGCTAGAGAATAATATTTGGTGTAAATTTAAACACACTCTTTCTTATCCCCGAGAGAACAACTGGCCAGGGCGCAACAATGTGGGTAATGAAATAATCTTAGTAAAACACACACTCACACACACACTCTACTACTGTACACGGAAACGCTCACACACACACACACGCACACACACATACATGTGTGTTTATACCAGATGTAAACAAATGCAATTAAGGCGGTATTTAGCTTTATACCTTGATTATTAACACACCTCACTGAGTTATTGATTGGGTAAAGTATGAGTTGTGTGGTGAGTGTGGTGAGGGGGTAACAATATCTGACTGTAAGTAAATAATGATGATAATGTCTCCAAGTTGCCGGGTCTCGATCACTGGCCTGCAGGAGCTCGTACGGCTGGCAGGGAGGCGCTCGGGGGAACACGCTACGGATTATTACTCTGAACATTTATTTGTTCCAGTGAAGGAGTAATGGATCTTTATTTAATGTTAAGTAATTAACCTGGAAATTTTCTAATTGATACTAGGATCGTGTACTTCTTTTAACTGTGCTTTATCAAATCATCGCGTTTATACGGTATAAAGTTAAATATTGATCAAATAGACGTTTCAGACGTTGAGATACGAATTGTCCATTTTACAGATATAATTTTACACGTAATTTGAATGTAAATATTATTGTGTTTACCGTTAGACATCAAGAAATATAAATAAAAACAAAATTCTGTGAGCTGGTGTACGATAACGTGGCCGCCGCTTATTTTCAGTGTGCGTTTGCAAATGGCGCGGACGGGAGTGGGTTCAAGTCTAACCAATATTTTGTTTACTACGACACGCTAACGGCACTGATCATTAGCCAATGTGCTTGAAAATCATTGGTAAGCCTTTTGCTGATATTTTAACATCAATAAATATAGTGAAAACCTCTTCGGATAGATGTTTCTCACTGTTTATATGAGTGAGTGTGGAGACGTTTGTTGACCTCGCCTCAGCCAAGACTACCATGTGCTACCCTGCCGTAAATTACTCCTCATCCCAACGTTTAATCGCTGGTGTGTTACATCATAGGTGAGTAGTGTGTGTGTGTGGGGGGGGGCAGCTGGTAGTGAGGCTGACTGGCTGAATCTGATTTATGTGCATTATATGGGCATGTGTGTTGACCTCACTACTACCCTCGTGTTGACCACATGACCTCGTTAACCTCTACCATCATGTTGACCTCCACCATGACCTCGAAACCTCTACCCTCGACCTCCACCATGACATCATTAACCTCAACCCTCGTGTTGACCTCCACCATGACCTCAAAACCTCTACCCTCGACCTCCACCATGACATCATTAACCTCTACCCTCGTGTTGACCTCCACCATGACCTCATTAACCTCTACCCTCGTGTTGACCTCCACCATGACCTCATTAACCTCAACCCTCACGTTGACCTCCACCATGACTTCATTAACCCCACCCTCACGTTGACCTCCACCATGACCTCATTAACCTCTACCCTCGTATTGACCTCCACCATGACCTCATTAACCTCTACCCTCGTGTTGACCTCCACCATGACCTCATTAACCTCTACCCTCATATTGACCTCATTAACCTCTACCCTCACGTTGACCTCCATGACTTCATTAACCTCTACCCTCGTATTGACCTCCACCATGACCTCATTAACCTCTACCCTCGTGTTGACCTCCACCATGACCTCATTAACCTCTACCCTCGTATTGACCTCCACCATGACCTCATTAACCTCTACCCTCATATTGACCTCCAGGGCTTCCTTACAGGGACCCCGGGCGTAAGTGGTTATGTTTTTTTCCTGGGAATTTGGTTCAAATCCCGGGATTCTTATTGTTATTCCTTGTCTTTGGTTTGCTCTGTGGGGGGGGGTAGAGCGAGTCTGACAGAAGTGACGCGTATCGTTCCTGTACACTTCTGGCCTTCACCACGTCTTGCTTGGGTACTGGCCTTAGTCGTGTTTATTTCCCTGCAGAGAATGTAAGTTTAGTTTCTTTATTTTATCTTGATATGGAAGGTTCCTAAGTCCCGGAATCATTTTCGTCATTCTTCGCTGCACCGACTCTAGTGAATTGATATCCATTCTATAATAGGGGCACCAGAACTGAACCGCATAATCGAGGTGCGGCCTGACTAGCACAAGATATAGTTGCAATAAGACCTCTGCACTCTTATTACTTACACTTCTAGATATAAAACCCAATACTCTGTTTGCCTTATTTCGAACATTAACACACTGTTTTCTAGGCCGTAGGTCCGGGCTTACAAGTACCCCTAGGTCTCTTTCACAAGTCGACTTCTCTAGGTTGATGTTGTTAAGGCTGTATACATTATCCGTATTTGTTCTTCCAATATTAAGTACTCTGCACTTGCTGGTGTTGAATTTCATTTGCCATTTTTCAGACCACCCCTGCAGTTTATTTAGATCCTCCTGTAATGCATTTGCATCCTGCCCTGAATTAATCTGCCGCCCTATTTTGGTGTCATCCGCAAACTTGCTTATGTCACTGCTGATCCCAGTATCTACATCGTTTATGTAGATTATGAACAAGAGTGGGCCCAGTACTGCCCCATGGGAACCCCACTGGTTACATAGACTCACTCAGATTTAACACCATATACGCTGACCCGCTGTGTTCTATCGGTGAGCCATGATTATATCCAAGCAGCTGTCATAGTTAGATGGAAGGGGAAGGAGTGCCCAACCACTGTTGAGGCTCACCCAGTCCCCCCTCCACTGTATGCAGAACCATATCACCCCGGGCCTGCCTTTTGTGTCATCTGCTCCCATTGTGGTCACACCTTCACCGCCTGCTGCTGAAGTGATCGTCCCAGATGTCGCTTCTGTTCACGTAACCATCACTCCTCCGTCTATGCCCAGAAAATCAAAGACCACCTCAATGGGGGTGGTGTGGGCTATGTTTTGACCCCAGGTGTTGTAATTGTGGTGGCTAGCACAATGCTGACTCAGGTCAATGCCCCAAACGTCCGCCTGTCCCAGGGAAAGGCCTCCCTAAGGCCGCGTCAACCTCAACCCCCCCACCCCCCCCACCCCAGTCTACCGGGCCGCCTCCCTCTGCGTCCCCTCTGTCTCAAGCAACTCCTTCAGCAACACTTGCCCCTGCCTGGCCTCACCTGGCTGCAACACAGCAGTCCCGGCCGTCTCCTAACTCAACTACTACTGGGCCTCCTCCCCGTCTCTACTCTGACGCTGTCAGGCCTTGTGCTCCCACCTGTGCCCCTCCATTACCCCCCCCTCTGGTGACACGACACAGATCATATCCCTCTTGCACGAATTTACCAACTGTGTGGAAAAACTCTGTACCGCCATCTCCGACCTACACCGGCTACTCCTGCCTTCAGCTGCTATCCAGTTTCTTCCCTCTTCTGGTTTGACACAAGCTGGTAGTCCCCCTGTGTGCCCCTCATGCTCACTGCCTACTCCATTGCCGCCTGGCATTACTGTTGGCATGGCACCTACCGAGCCTGCCCCGGTGTGCCCTGCTGCCCCCGTGCCACGTCCCTCCCCATCACCACGACACGTGGTGCCTCATTCTGTCCACCCATCGCAAGCCGCGCCTGCTCATGTCTCTGAGCTGTCTCCACCAGGGCTCCCTATTGGACCCGAGGACACCTCCCCCGGCTCCCCGTCCCTCACTGGCATGCCGGCACCTGAGGCCCATCCACTCCATTTCTCCACATCAATGGAGCACCACGAGGACATGCACTTGAACTATGTATCTATGCCAAGTAGGACGTCCCCTACCAACCTCTCAACGTTCCCCTTGAAGACGACACCACCGACGTACACGCCATCACAATCACACTAAAAGGTATGTCCCTCAATATTGTCAACGCCTTTGTGCCTCCCTCCACCACTACTGTACCTGTCCTACACCTCCATCCCCACCCTCCTCCTGGCGGACCTCACCCCAGTCTCTGCTCCCAGGGGCCCTACCCAAACTCCCGGGGTAACTCCTGACTTTCTTACCTACAAACCACTGATGACCCTGTTACCAACGCCTCTTCCCTCCCTCCCTCCTAGAGACAGGCCTGGCACTTGACATTATTAGGGACCTGCCACACTTTGCCATAAACAGATAAATTGTACCGGGAATTTTCCCCCCACACACTCATCATGCTGTCACTTTATGTAACTTGCTGACAAAACCCATGACCCTTCAGGCTTTTACGCCCTTAATGCACGAGTCATGAAGGCAAGCATGGACTACGCATGCTTCCCAGATGGGCGCTGTAAACGCCTTTGCGCTTCACCTTGCACAGATGACAAGAGGGTGCCCAATAAACTAGCTCCCTCGGGGGCAAATATAAAATAAACATAAACAACGTGGTAGATAACGTGTGGTAGTTTATGTGGTAGATAATATGTGGTAGTTTATGTGGTAGATAATATGTGGTAGTTTATGTGGTAGATAATATGTGGTAGTTTATGTGGTAGATAATATGAGGTAGATAACATGTGGTAGATGATAACATGTGGTAGATAATATGTGGTAGTTTATGTGGTAGATAATATGTGGTAGTTTATGTGGTAGATAATATGTGGTAGTTTATGAGGTGGATAACATGTGGTAGTTTATGAGGTAGATAACATGTGGTAGATGATAACATGTGGTAGTTTATGTGGTAGATAATATGTGGTAGTTTATGAGGTAGATAATATGTGGTAGTTTATGAGGTGGATAACATGTGGTAGTTTATGAGGTAGATAACATGTGGTAGATGATAACATGTGGTAGTTTATGTGGTAGATAATATGTGGTAGTTTATGAGGTAGATAACATGTGGTAGTTTATGAGGTAGATAACATGTGGTAGTTTATGAGGTAGATAACATGTGGTAGTTTATGTGGTAGATGATAACATGTGGTAGTTTATTATTAGTGAGATAACAGATAAACACGTGATATTTATTACAATGTAACGTGACAATACATTGATTTAGGAAATATATGTATTGTTACTGTAGCACTGATGTAAGGTACAGTCCCCTTCATTAGTGCGTTTACAGGGGCTCGTCAGGTTTTGTGCAGTGTGGCCGGGATGTGTTTGTTTACATTCGACAAAAGGAAACTCACAATAATAAACACACTATGGAATCAAATTAAAACAATATTAAAACAATTATCGAAATGATTTATGGAATGTTTATATAATGAACCCCTGTAAAGGCACAAGTGAAGGGGACTGTATCTGATGTGACTGATGACATGATTTTGCCTGAGACAATATGACACAACAGACGAAGCATTTTGACAACCCTACCGAGACAACAGGAGTCACAGTGTTCATTGTGAGTCATCGGACCACTTTATAAAGACTTTTGGAGCGAATGTTATTATTTGGAGTGAAGACAGGAAGTGCTTCACACACACTAAGTTATTATTATTAATGTGACATAATTTGGACAGCTTGGAGGAGTAACTTAACTAGAGTTACCTTAGAGATACATTACAGGTACATTAAGATGCCTTAGAGTCTTAGATATACATTACACCAGTGCTCCAGGCTGGGGTGTGTCCATTTCGTCACCAACCCGTTTCGTCACCACATTTTTTACCCATTTCGCCACCACTTTTTTTTACCCGTTTCGTCATCGCGTTCATTTCTCATCACTATTTCAAAGTTTTGGACCTTCATTATGTATTCACTGGAGCAGTGAAGACGTAATGGCTGGTTTGTTATCTTTGTGGACATCCACTGGATCATGCAAGCATCTCACTAAGACAATTTATTAAAGAAGGCTGCATGTATGGACAGTAACTGATACAATGGTTTTGGTTGGGTTCATACAAAGGAGTGTTAGCTACAGGACTAGCGAGGTCATCCTAAAAGTAGTGTATATCTTGCGCCTCACTTGGATTACACAGTTCAGTTCTGGTCACCGTATTACAGAATGGATATAGAATCCCTCTTGTTGGCCTCAAGTTGATGATGAAGGAGAGGCTGTACTGTACTGTATATAATGAACGGTATTGTATATGTGGTGATAAATTGCGTAATTGTGTTTTAATATATTTTCTTTTATCTTTCCAGATACTGAGTCTGCCAAAGTGGGAGTGAAGTGTTAGGTGTTGTGAAGTATATTGTCTGCTATAGGCTAAGTGGTGATCTCAGTGGATGAAAATATCCTATCTGCCTTTTATACGTAAAGTTATCCAAAGTTGTGTTGATGAAGTTCATTGGAGAAAATACTTGGTGTAATGACGGTGAGTGTAGAGTTAGTGACAAATGTGTACCCGAGGCTGAGACTGTTGGTCTGGGTCACTACAGAGGTGAATGTGGCGTGAAGCAGGAACAGGAGATGGGCGAGATAATCAAATCGGAGGAGACGACCAACATGGAGACCAAACTTGGCGTTGATTTCCCGCCCGAAGCGTCGTCAAAAGCGCTCACCTGTGTGTTGAAGAACGGCCAGGTGTCAGCCCTCACCTGTGCCCCCGTGGTGACCCAGCAGGCGCCGTCCGGGAACAAGGGGCACCCCAGGCACGTCACCCACTACAAGACGGCTCATGTTGGCCTCCCAGTCATCAAACTACACAGACTGGACGCCAGAAACTTTAGACGAGTCAAAGACATTACTCAAGTGGGGATCAACAAAGACTGTGCTCGAGCGCTGCGTAAAGAGTTACAACGGTTTAGGAGGAATGAGAGGAAGAGGAGGTTACGGAAACTTGGCCTGGCCGGCCCTAAGTGTAGTAAACCGAGCTTTAAGAGGAAGCATTTATTGTCTGAAGATTTTGTGAAAAGTGAAAGTGCTGAAAATGAGTGGCCAGGGACCCACCAGGCCATGTTGGAGGCGGCCAACAAGGCCACCAGACCGGCCACCAACGGCTCCATCACTGGTAAGTTGATGCTCTTTTGTTGTGTACTTGTAGACGTAGATGGTTCTTACAGCTGGTCTTGTGTCCGGCTGTATATGTATTTAAAGTGTGACCACACCCGTACCTGCTCAGGTGTTAAGTAAGCTAATTGGTCACATGGTCATCAACACTTGTTCTTCCAATCAACTAATTATTTGGCTAAGTTATTGTACACTGTTTTATTGGTGAAACTAAATGGTGACGTTCTTGCTAGTGGCGAGACATTGAGATGACTGGTGATAACCCCCTTGAATCACATAAGAAAATAAGGAGTCTGCAATAGGCCGGTTGGCCTGTGCATGGCAGCCCCTGTCGAGAGTTACTACCACTCTCTATCATCCATGAATCTATCCAGCCTCCTTTTAAAACTTTCCAGCGTTCCAGCACTTACTACAAAGTTGCTAAGCTTGTTCCACTCGTCCACCGCCCTATTTGTGAACTAGTTCCTTCCTATCTCCCTCCTAAACCTAAACTTATCCAACGTAAATCCGTTGCTTCGAGTCCTATCCTGCTCGGATATTATAAGAACTTTATCTATATCGCCTTTATTGATTCCTTTCACCCACTTAAATTCTTCTATCATATCTCCCTCCCCCTGCGTCACCCTCCTCCCCGTGCGTCACCCTCCTCCCATTGCGTCACCCTCCTCCCCCTGCGTCACCCTCCTCCCCCTGCGTCACCCTCCTCCCCCTGCGTCACCCTCCTCCCGTCGTCACCGTCGTCACCCTCCTCCCATTGCGTCACCCTCCTCCCCCTGCGTCACCCTCCTCCCCCTGCGTCACCCTCCTCCCCCTGCGTCACCCTCCTCCCGTCTGATACTAAGTAAATGTTACATTACTCTGTAGTGTTTTGGAGTCCTCCATCCTTGTAGAGCCTGACAGACTACAGTACACTACAGTATTAGTGACAAACGAGACAGCGCAGGTATATGTGGGGTAGTAGGCAGCTACCAAACAGGGAGGTACTACCGCCTGGGAACATACTGAAGCATAATGTTGTTGTCTAATGGTAGACCCTGTGTGACCAAGTCCCAGGTTGTTGATCTGACTGATTTTCTGCCTCATTTACACACATTTGGAGGGTCTCAATTGTTTCTCTTAACAACACAACATACTGGTACATATATTGTTTTTAATTTTTTAAATTTATTATTATTACTATTACTGTGTTATTATTATTATTAATTTTTTATTTTAAAATTTGTATTTTTTATTATATGGATACTTCCCTACATCCTTGTGTAAGGTGAAGCACAGAAGCGTTTACAGCGCCCAACAGGGAAGCATGCTAAGTTCATGCTTGCCTTTATGTCTCATGAGTTAGGGGCGTAGAAGCCTGAAGAGTCAGAGGTTTTTGTCATTAATATTACATTTTCACCCCCAGGCCCCGATTTGGGTCAGTGACCTGTGCCCGGGTGGGCTAATCCCCATAAAAAATACTAGGAATGGTCCTCAGTAAGACTTGGTAGTGAGGACTGGGGATGAGATGTTAAGGGCTGGGGGCATATGGTGAGGGCTGGGAAGGCGTAGAAAGAGGTTACAGAACAGACACACAAGAGCTAACTTATTACAGTCTCAGCAGTGTCTGTATCCACGGTGCCATCTTGTTGTACCATATGTGTTGAGAGAGAGGGAGCGTTACTGAGGGTGTCACCAGCTTGATGATCGGGTTGTGGGACAGGTCAGTGATAGTTTAAGACTCGCCCTCTGTGTGTGTGTGTGTTTAACATGGGTTGGTTGAGAGAGTGAGAGAGAGGGGAGGGGGTTGGTGTGTCTCAGTGTTCTTCGTGGGCTGTTTCTCTGGCGGGGCGATGAACTGTGTGTCTCAGGCGGTCGTTCTCGTGTTGGGTGGGGGGAGGAACTTGACACCCATGTTATCAGCTGTGTTTGTCCAGTGAGGAGAGTGTGTGTGTGTGTTGGGTGAGGGGAGGATTTTGATAAGAAAAATAGGCTAGCCGAACCAAACAGAACTAAACCTAACTTAACCAAACAGAACAACGGGGGTCAAGTTTTCCCCCCTCCCCACCTACCCTATCACTTTGTCAATGATTAAAATTTCTATTTTTATTATTATTTTTTTTAAATCTACTCTATTATGATATTCTACTCAATGGGTTAAGATATCGTACTCAAAAGGGTAAGATATAGTACTCAAGAAGTTAAGATATTGTACTCAAGAAGTTAAGATATTGTACTCAAGAAGTTAAGATATTGTACTCAAGAAGTTAAGATATAGTACTCAAGAAGTTAAGATATTGTACTCTATGGGTGAATATATTGTACTCAAGAAGTTAAGATATTGTACTCAGGGGTTATTAACCAATTAATGAAATCTCGTCGCAGACATAAATCGAATATTAACACACACACTACTTCTTTGCTGTCACTGGGAATAAAGTGTGACAATCATCCAGTTATGATACAATGATATGAGGTATTAAGAATGTCACCTTCTGTAGGTTGGTGAGTTCTGAGGTGACTAAAGAGGCCGATACGGGACCGGCAGAGTCGTCCACAGATGCACATGTGGGGGGGGCTACATCCAGTGTGGTGCTCCTCCAAGCGTTATGGTGTGGAGTAATCGTCTCCCAGGTGAGGGGGTCGATTTGGCACTTTTTCAGGTTTGTCTTAAGACTATCCTGATACCTTTTCAGTTGCCCACCAGCCTTACGTTTACTATTCGTTAGGTGACTGTAAAGTAGCTGCTTTGGCAGTCTACTGTCGTCCATGTGGGTAACATGGCCAGTCCAGCGTAGTTGTTCCTGGGTAATGGTAGCCTTGGTGCTCCTACAGTTGGTGTCAGCGAGAATACTGGCATTTGTTCTCTTGTCTTCCCAGCGAACTCGGAGGATGGAAAGAAGACTATGTTGGTGAAAGATTTCAAGTGCCTTGAGGTGCCTCCTGTATGTGACCTGTGTCTCGCTGCCATATAGCAGGGTGGGGAGGACCACTGCTCGATATACGTGCAACTTTGTAGATAATTTCAGCTCCCTACAGCTGAAGACACGGGCACGGAGTCTGCCAAAGGCTTGAGATGCACATCTGATTCGATGCTGAATCTCTTCATCGATATCCGAGGTGGTGGACAGGTGGGAGCCGAGATACCGAAAGTGGATAACATTAGAGAGGGTAGTACATTCACCTTAAGGCCGAAGTGTGCATACGAATCTGCGTAGGTGTTCAGGATCTCCTGTAGGTCGCGTACAGGTTAGGTTATGGTGTTTAATCTTCAGGTGATCCCAAAGTTTTTATCTCTCTCTCTCTCTCAAGGCCTTTCGCTTACTCTCACACTTTCTCTCATACTCTCACACTCTCTCTGTCTCTCATCCTCTCTCTCTCTCTCTCTCACACACTCTCTCTCTGTCTCTCTCACACACTCTCTCTCTCTCTCTCTCTCTCTCTCTCTCTCTCTCTCACACACTCTCTCTCTCTCTACCTCTACTTCTCACACACCTCTCTCTCTCTCACACTCTCTCACACTCTCACACACACTTCTCTCTCTCTCACACTCTCTTTCTCTCTCTTACCACACACTCTCACACACACTTCTCCTCTCTCTCTCTCTCACACTCTCACACTCTCTACACACACTCTCTCTCTCACACTCTCTCACACTCTCACACACACTCTCTCTCTCTCTCTCTCTCTCTCTCTCTCTCTCTCTCTCTCTCTCACACTTCCTTCACACACACTCTCACACACACTCTCTCTCTCTCTCTCTCTCTCATATCTCTCCATATACATAACAGTGTATGTAAGTGTGCCTCATGTGTAAGTGTGTGTCTGGCATGATGGACTTAGCCTCCCAATGCCTCCAATAAGCCTGAGGGAGGGATCATGTGTGTTGGCCTCTTGGTTTACGGGTACATCACTATGCTAGCTCTGCCTGTGACTGTGGGGGGGTGTGCTGGTGCATGACAAGGTTCCCGTCTCACCTGCAGCAGTGTGGGGGAGGGTATTAACTGTGCTACACCCTCTATCTTGGTTCCTGGGTGTGATACGTAAGGGGTGGTGAGTACTGGAGTGGACCTGCCCTGGCTGGTGGTGTTTTCTCCTTACTGTGTTGTCCCCTCACTGCGCCCTTCCCTCACCACTCTGCCTTCACTGCGCCCTCCCCTCACCACTCTGCCTTCACTGCGCCATCCCCTTACTGCGCAATCATTTCAAACTCTCTTCGAAATCACCTGGAGAAGCACAAGTTGATCAATGATTCCCAACATGGCTTCACAAGCGGGCGTTCATGTCTAACTAATTTTTAACCTTCTTTTCAGCTGTTTTCGAATCAGTGGATGCGGGGCACAACTATGAAGTGGTATATCTCGACTTTAGCAAAGCCTTCGACAGAGTCCCCCATGAAAGACTAAAAAGAAAAGTGGAGTCTCATGGTATTAAAGGAGATATTCTAAAATGGATTAGGGCGTGGTGCAGGACAGGAAACAGCGAGTGAGCATTAACATTAGCGGCACTAAATCCGATTGGGGCAACGTCACTTGTGGAATACCCCAAGGCTCAGTACTTGGACCTTATTATTTATTATATACGTAAAAGACATAGATATCGGTGTAGACAGCAACATAAGTAAATTTGCTGATGACACTAAAATACGGCGTGTAATTAAATCATGAGGGCTCCGCGAAACTACAGGAAGATCTAAAAAAAATTTCGAGTGCTCTGAAAAATGGCAGATGAAATTCAATGTGGACAAATGTAAAGTACTTAGTCTAGGAGATGTAAACAGAATCGAAACAAGGCTAATAAAGTACTTGGGTTCATACAAAGGAGTGATAGTTACAAGACTAGCGAGGTCAATTCTGGTCACCGTATTACAGAATGGATATACTGTAGAATCCCGAGAAAGAATCCAGAGGAGAATGACAAGACTAATCCCGGACATTAGGAACCTTGAGTACAGAGACAGGTTAAAGCATCATTATTTGCGCTCCCTCGAGAGACGTAGAGTGAGGGGCGATACGATAGAGGGTG